CCGAAAATCAATTCGAAAAAGATCGATCAGTGTGTATTAACTCTTGTCGGCTTCTTTGGGCTTTCGGGCTCGACATCATTTGACAAGCAACAGGAATTTTGATCGAATATGCAATGTACCCCTCATTGTGATCCTTCGACGTCTGTGCCTCTTTGTGATGTATTTGGGCTGCTAATTGATCCCGTCTTGCTCTGTTTTGTGTGCAACAAACCCGTATTAGCGTCCGGAAGCCTGTCTGTGTTGCAATCATTAACCGGTCATTTAGAGGCGTTGGCTTGATGCTCAGGTATGTATAGTATGGGCAGTTGAGCCACCAATGCCAACGAAACATGATCATCTGTATCATGTAATTCGAGGATATATCTTAGGTTCTTGTAGGGCCGTCGGATTTGTCTCACAGCCACAACTTGAGATGGACAAGGACTTCATTACGACACTGTTTCGTTGTATCTGGAACAGCATGCAAACTGTACCAAATTGAGCAATTAGTGAAGGTACAGACGATGGATCTTTCAAGTCTTCAAAGATCAATTGTCCGAGAGCGGAAAAGATAAGGGGAATGCTGTGATCCATCGTACTGCGTATTTGAGTAGGATTTGATGATGATGATAATGACGTGCATATAATTAACTCTTTGAGGTATTTTCAACCTCATGTTCGCCGAGCATTTTGTTGAGCATGGAGGCTGAACTAAATCTGGGGATCTTGACAATCCGTCTTGAAGGTTCTGTTCTTGGTGTCGAATCTGTCGATGTTGTGATTTCAATGGGCATGTTAGAATACGAGAACACCGAAATCATCTCTAGACACCTGCCCATGGTACCTACCTAGGTCGATACTTTATTGTTGATGCTCGCAGAATTTGATTCCAGGTAGCAACAGTGTACGAGTAGGTGGTAGATGTCACGGATCGGCCTCAATCGCAACTGCGATCGCTCACGTGCACGATCACGTGTACATAGCTAGTATATAGGTGCGCTCCATGAGCGCTTTGCTCTCGATTCTGTAGTTGTAGATTCTAAGGATAAATTGTACCCTGCTCTCGCAGTTCTTCTACGGTAAAGTGTCACAGTAGACATTTAGTAGCTTATCTAATCCTTGATTAGCCTCCTACGATTGTGCGCACGTTACTCCGTAACCTTACCTAGGCGCTAAAACAAAAACTTTTGTACTTCGTATTAACATGTTTATCAGTACATACACCATATCAATATATGCACCACTTCAAAATACACCAAAATTAGTCTTTTATTAATATTTTTATTTAAATCATTAATCATTATTTTTTCTTTAAAAAAGTTTCTTTATAAATAATAAAAATGAAATATTTATAAAATTTAATCTTTATATAAATATCTCAATTATAGCTCAAAAATATTACATTTTATATTAACGTAACTTATAGTGAACCAGGTTATATGGGGAACTGGGTCATATTTAGCCCATTATTGACTTCAAACCCTAATGTTACGGGAGCTGCCTCTAGGGTCACGTGGAAGTGTCTAGAGATCTCTCGAGGTGGTTTAGACTAGACTTCAAGTAGGAATTCAATAAGGTTGTAACTGGTTGCAATTCTCGTAACTATAGTAATGAAACTAATGATTGTTCTTGAGCACGAAGCTCTACACTGTAATGAAACCCATTCCTTTATATAGACCTTCGTTCTCTGTGCTCAGTCGGATCACAAATGATCCCTCTGATCCGATCAACTGGATCACTAATGATCCCTCTGATCCGGTTACCTAAGCGTCGGGGTCACGTGACGTCTATTGTGGCAGACCATCGTAACACCTAACAAATTTTGCTATATATATCGAATCACCTCTTACACTTTTTGAAATTGAAAAGAAAATATAGAATGTTATTATTACATTTCAATTAAAGGAATTTAAATCAATTAAAAAGATTACAGAGTATTTTGAAGTTTTTAAATCAATTCTTATAGCTAAGATTGCTAAAAGGAAATTATATATTTAATCCCACAAAATGATTCAAATTCTTTCAAATGTAAAAGAAGATACTTTTGTATAATAAATTTCACAACTTATTATTATTAGATTCCCTATTATATTTATATTGATAAAGGAAATGGTTAATGAAATTCGTTTTCAATATATTCAGATCATATTATCTCGAATTCCTACCTTAATAGAAATTCCACTTATAAACTACAAATAGATTTATAGATTTCAAAAACGATATTTAGAATTTAAAATATACTACTTATATCAATTAAAGTCTAATCAAATTAAAGAGGTAATACTAGAGAATATTCAGGCTTAGTTTGATATGTTTTATATACATTTTATTGAACGAAAGTATGAATTAAATAATATATATGATATGAACGAAATCGGATTTGAAGTTAGAAGTATTTAAAGTATACGTATTATAGTCGATTCTACTCAGAAATCGAATTGGAAAGTTATAACTAACAAACAAGAATGGATAACTGTATTTGAATGTGTTAATACAACTGGAAAGGCTTTATTATCTATGGTCATTTTCAAGGCTTAGAATACAAATTCTGTATAGATTTCAAAGGATACACTTCAAAGCTGATAGTTTTTTATTAATATAAATAAATGGACTTTAAACAATCATGAATTAGAATAACTAAAAAAAGTTTTCAAACCAGAATCCAAGAAAGTATTAGATAATTGACCTCGACTTTTAATCATAAATAGTTATTCAAGTCATATTACAAACAGCTTTATTGCTTTCTATATAGAGAAGAATATCGATTTACTTATATTACCTTTTTATTGCTTTTACTTACTTTAATCACTTGATATTATAATATATAAGCTAATGAAACAATATTATACTTTAAAGGTTGATTAATATTCTCAAACTAATATAAAACAAATCCAAAAAGCTGAATAAATAGAACTCTTTCAAAATATTAAAAAAAAAGCATTGAATTCTTCTAATATTAAAGCTAGCTAAAAAGAAGCTAATTTAATACCTTTTACCCCACAAAAAGTATTCGATTTATTACCATTTAATTCCTTCCAGCAACCTTCTACTCCACAAATAAGAACCTCCAATCAAAATCTAAATTTATTTATACTTAAAAGCTCTCCTTCAAATAGAACAAAGCTAAGGTAAACAAATCAGACCTTTAATAAAGCTCTAACAGATAATGATTCTTTTGTATCATTAATTCATCGATATGTCAAAAGAATGATTAGACTTGTAGAATCTCAAAATGCTAAAATAGCCCTATTTCGAAAACAACTTGCTAATGTTTAGAAGGTAATTGAAACTCGAAAGAAGAGAATTAAAAGTAAAAGAATTAAATTATAAAATCAATTTATCTTTAGTAATAAGAAAATATTGAAAATAATATATAAAGTGGAGAAAAAAACCTAAGGAGAAAAAGTCACAAGGATAACCACATAAACATCCCAATTAAAGAATTAGAAGAGGAGATTAAAAAAGAAGAACCAAAAGTAGTTCAAATGATTTAGAATTGAAATTGGATGAATATATAGCTCATAGAACAAGATCATATAAAGAGAATTGAATTTTGTGACTCGGTTCCCTATATAACCTGGTTCACTATAAGTTATGTTACAAAAATTTATTTCTTTAAATAACTTTTTTATTATTATAAGATTTTATTATTTTAATTCATTTTTATATTATTTATATAAGTAAATATAATATATATAAAGAAAAATTAAATTATATTAATAAATAAAGAAAGTGTATAATTATGTACGGCCGTTTTTTGTATGTAAAAATAATGGTGTATATATTGATATAATATATATACTAATAAACCACGTTATAACAACAAAAAGATGTACATGTTGGTGCGCCCTTTTCAACAACAACAACAACAATAATCTATTTTCTTCCTATTTCCTTAACTTTCACTAATGAGCTGGCAAAGAGATAAACTTTGATCATCTGGATGAAGTCTCTTCATTCACCAAGTTACGCACAGATGTAGTGACATCTCCATGATCGATACCTCGTGGCTTTTTTCAATGGTACTGGAACCCCTCTATCCTAAGCCACTGCCAACCATATCTCTCCCTCCTCTTCCTTTCATAGTACGATACAGATCTACTTCGATTTTCAATATCATAGAATCATCAAAATTCATTCTATTTATACATCGCTATTAGCAAGTAGTTTTGTCAAACAGCACTATCATTATTTCTCCCGGTAAAATGCCCTGAATCACCAAGACTAATTGCGAATGTTACCCCGCTTAGCACCGCCGTATAAACTCAATTACTCCGCAAAACACTAAATTGAAATGCTAATTCTACTAGTTATGCTCGTGTTGTTGAGGCGATCATTCTATAATAGGAAAAGCATATTTTGGGCTTATACGGGACTTCGCATACTTTCCAACCTGCCCAGGCTTGTCCTGCCATTCTTTTAACTTATAGCACACAAGACTCGAAAATCATGCATATCTTTCCGAGCCTCTTCATTCTGCATTGGTTGTACTGACTTGGAGAAAAGTCTCCTCTTCCTCTAGCTTTGTACAGGCATTCCCACAAAATATGCACATTCACCACACCCCGCTAATGGCTACCAATCACTACCAGATGTTTACACTAGTGATGTATTGTGCCTCATTGATCCAGCGATTCGGAAGGTACCTAAGTACACTTGAGTCGGATTTAACCACTTCTAAATTGTCAATCATTGTATCAAGTGATTCAATAACCAACATGGAAGAGCAATATTCCATTGGATAGTGGGCAACGCTATTCTCCTGCCTATTCTAATAAGGTCACGGAGATATTAGCCCCGCGCCGTCTCTGACCTGTAGCTTTCACTAGATATCAAGGTATCTGGATACTAGTTGCTAGTGGCCATTGGAATTCGTACATAAACAATACAATCCTGCCATTCGTATTTCCATTGTTACATCCCATTTATTCAGGTCTCTATTGATCCTCCTGTAAAATCCTCATTCGTTTTTGGATTGATCGTTCTTGTTTACACGCCCTCGCTCCTACATTAAACTCAATATGAAGACCACGTTCGTTGTTGTTGCTGGTCTAGCATCTATCGCATATGCTCAGGTCACAGCTCTCATCACCCCAACCTCATCTGCTCCTGAAGGATGTGCAACTAGCTATTCTGGCGCTTTTCAAATCTCTACTGTAAATGTTAGCAGTGTAGCAAAGCGTCAGCAAAAGGTAAACATATCTTTACTTATTTCAATCGATGGTTAGATGTGATCTAGCTAACCCGTCCTCAGCGTGCCGACTGCTCATCGTCTCTCGCCGTCACACTCAACGATGGTATTCTCAAAGACCAGCAGGATAGAACAGGATACATTGCGTCAAACACTCAATTCCAATTCGATGGCCCACCGCAAACTGGAGCTATTTATACCGGTGGCTGGTCTGTTTGTTCAAACGGCTCTCTCACTCTTGGAGGTTCCGCTGTTTTCTACCAGTATGTAAACAGTTCACAAATTTCAAAATTCTTTCACCCCTGATTTTATGCCCGGATCTCAATCCCATTTTCCATCTTCCTCAAACAAATCCCTTTTCCTTAAAATATAGCGTTCATTCCTCGTTTTCCTCCCGAACATTCCTCTAATAGACAATACTGACTTTCCTACTTCCAACAGATGCCTCTCAGGTACATTCAATAATTTGTACACGGAATCGCAGGGTGAACAATGCTCCCAAATTTTGATCCAAACAACTGCATGCAGCTCAGCTGCTGGATCTGGTGCCGTTGGACAATCGACTGATGGCCAAGCAATTGCAACTGCTATCGCTTCTGTATCCTCTGCAGCAGTTTCTCAAATATCAGATGGGCAACCACAAGGTGCAACCTCGGCCGCTCCTATTTCTCAGATTAGTGACGGACAAATTCAAGCCCCTACATCTGCTGGCGGTGCGCCAATCACTCAGATTAGTGATGGCCAGGTCCAAGGTGCTACCTCTGTTGCCATCCCTTCGGCTGAGATCTCTCAGATCCCAGATGGACAAATCCAAGGTGCAACATCCACTGTTGCCATCCCTTCGGCTGAGATCTCTCAGATCCCAGATGGACAAATTCAAGGTGCAACATCCACTGTTGCCATCCCTTCGGCTCAGATCTCTCAGATTCCAGATGGACAAATTCAAGGTGCAACATCCGCGGCTGCCGTCCCTTCGGCGGTGGTTTCCCAAATTCCAGATGGTCAAATCCAAGCACCAACCGGTGTCGCCACACTCGAAACGAGCACTTCTCTTGCCGGTCCAGTCATCTCTCAAATCAGTGATGGCCAAATTCAGGCTCCTACCGCTACCGCAACGAATGTTACCTATTCCAGCACAACATCTGCCCCCGCTGTATTTACTGGCGCTGCCAACACTTACCAAATAAGTGGCTCTTTAGCTGCTGCTGCCATTGGTCTCTTTGCTGCTCTTTTGTGAAGCTCCCCTGATACATCACATCACATGACGAGACAATTTCTATTCTTGATAATACATTTTATGGTTAAGACGGGTTTAATATGTGATTATTACTGGGGACATCGGAGTGGAAAATAAAACACCCCTCACTGCATTTTGGGGCAACAAATCACATCACATACGACATATACGAACGGGCACAGGATACGGTAATAGGGGCATAGTCATCACATCACAAAGTATCAATTTACAAAATGAAATAATGGGTACATACTAATAATAGAAAGGATTCGATACTAAAAATATTTGATTATGAAATGATTTAAGGGAATGAATGGATAATAAATGACACAAACGTCTTACCTCAATACCTGGGTCCTTGGTGAATAATCTGATGTGCTTCTCAGATCTACTATATCTCTATGTGATTTCGTCTTTGACTAGCAGTAAATTTCTGAACCTCAGACACCAGAATATGTGTGACTGACGTTCTAGTGACCACTAACCCAATGCCCAATCCCGTTCATCCACCGTCAAGGGCCGAAACCATCAATTAGCCTATCCATTTAGCGTAAGCCCATTTCACACGCGTCATCAATGATTTCTTAGTTAGGTCAATCCATCCAACCAACCTACTAACGACCCCGCGCTGGCCTCCCGCCAGATATGCACCCCACCGCCAAGACTTCTGCCTCGGGAGACCAAATATACAGCATATCCAGCTGAGTTGGCACTAGAGCTAGAGCTAGAAGTGACGTTAGGAAAAGTCTGGGAATAAATTTGCTAGGGATTGATAATAGTATTTCGTCTAGCTTGTTGATATTCTCATATCTCCAATTTTTTGGAGATAAGAATCTCGGGATAGGAGAATGTTAAAGTAGACGGATTTCTAGGGTCGGAACTCCCAGAGCTCAATGCGATTATCTATGCCAGTATATACAAGCTATAGTGTTGGTAAGAATCCCTCGTTGTTTATTTCCCTGGGTCCGGATTTTCCGATATCATAGCGGCAGCAATATTTTTTCTTCACACCCAAGCATGCAAACCTAGCTTGTCGTCCTCTATTTGGTATCGAGATATATTCAATTCTGGGACAAATGGTTCTTGTTAGGTATCCGAAGAAATCGATAGCCTACATGGTCTAAGATTTTTTAATAGCAGCTATTACCTACCGCGTTTAGATTGGTCCTGTCGGCAAATTTGAACAAGAAACAAGTATGCTCGCGATATCTAAGAGAGCGGAGCTGTACGCCCTCCATCGGAAAAGGAACTCGGTTGCACATCTTAAACCGACAGTCTTTCATATACCAAATAGAGACTATCACATGAGAGCACTAGATGCCTGTTTATGCAAAACAATTACCATTGTCAGCTGTTAATAACTAGAAGAAAATGCTATGTTAACAACCCCTATTCCGGAAGCCATAAAACATAATCTACTACTCTTGAAATCAAAATAGCCGAGAAATCCACTCGATTACTCCAATGGACTCTCAGTTCAAAGCTTACCGAGAAGATTGCTTCATTTTTCCCCTATTGTTAAGAATTTGGACCTCGCTAAGCGACAATTCTACATAGACCAATCGAAAGAATAGAAGTAATTGTAGCTTTCAACAGAAATCTGTAATTCATCTTTTTGAACCATGGAATCTATACTGGTTGGTGTATATTCCATTCTCGAAATGTAGTGTTTAACCGTATCTATATATCTCTCCTTGTAATTTACCCAGTCCCGTTTTCGTTCTTCTCTTCAAAATTCCTTACCGCCTCGAAGAAGCAAAGTCTCTTCATACACCAGTCTAACCAAGTATATTAGCAGTATCATAACTCTCACTGTCGTTCCCCAATATATTGACTCCTACTTTATCCTCAATCTCTCCCAATGCCATCAAATCAGATATATCTAAGGCCTAAAACAACCACCTCTTTTCCTTTACCTGATAAAAACCCAAGTCGAGACACCAAAGGGCACTTCCAGCAACTATAAGACGTATACTATTCGATCAACACCCAAGAGCATGCAAACATCATGATACGCTTTGAGACTAGTATTGTATTTAGCTGCTCGAGAAGGAGTAAACTCTACCGTAGAAGCCGCACTATTAGCAGCGAAAGAAGTTGAGCAGGAATAGGAGAGATGAGAGAGAGACCATAGCATGGTGCATTAGGTGATCGTGTAAGCATGCCACTTGGAGCTGAGGGAAGAGGGGCTATTTTCGGACGTTGTTGTTTGCAAATTTCCTTCGGAGCAGTGTATCCAATAGTCTGAACTGTAGTTCAACAAGATAAGTCCTTGAGTCTCTTAAAGCAGTTGGAAAGTTGACAAAAATGCAATATTCCAATCAAATTAAATTTTTAGATGATAGAATGTTCTGATTGGTTTAGAGGTTTGATATTCTTCACTCTTGGACTGCAGTCAGGACCATTGGACACCCTGCAAAGTTCAGAGAAGACGAGACGGTGAAGTTTTTGGCAGAGAGACTTGAGTGCTTGTACGGCCCAGCGGCACGGTGATGTATTTGAATTGAAGTTAGGTCAGTTTTCGTGCGTAACCTGGAGTTTTCAACTCAATACTCTTGGTAAACTCGTATAATATGCCTGTGTTGAGTCTTCCTCTGATAATCATTCTCTTTGACTAAGTCTGGCAGTGGTTCTAAGTTCCAAAAGGGTTTAGCATACATTTCATATAGCAAAGGATGCCTCATTCAAAGCGTGGAATTTGATCTCATTTGTATGTTTTCGCTTAAAAAAACAATTTAGAACAAGTCTATGCCCGCAAGTGCCTCAAAAAATGCGCTTATGATGTGCCAAAAGGCGACAAAAAGGGTATTTGAAATCCTACTAACCCGTTGCACCTCCCGTAAATACGCCTGAAGCTATAATCCCCCAATTTATACAGTCTACGATTAATCCAACGCCAATTCGTGATTCCTTTGGAGTATATTCTTCAATCGATCTCCATTGCATCATGAAATTCGTGATTCTCGACCTCTTCCGGTCCTATCTCTACCGCAGGAACTTTTTCCAACGAGATTACATTCGGTGTCCAATCCATATCGTCCTCCATCGGACGTTCCCCGATCTGTTGAAGTGCCGTTTCCATCTTGTATCTGGCGGCTTGCATGTCGGTTACACTGAGCTTCTCCCAATCGTATAATTCAGTCCACAGCTTATGAAACTTTAATTGCCTTGAGTGGTCAGAGAGCAGGCTCATGAGGTCTTCGGCTTGTTGCGCCAAGCCACGTAATTCCTGACTCGAAAAGATATGCCGATGGGTAGCAGCGTTTCGTATTCGGACAGCATTAGCCAGGCATTGGTGAAGGGTTTTACCGTGCAAGATAATGGCTTCTGGCGGGACATTCTCCGGAAGGATCGTTCTCCATGTAGATAGTTCAACCGCTTCCGAGCACGTCCAGTTGTTTCTTTGTAGTACGTCGGGAATCCATCGCGATGCAAAGGTATAACACCCTTCCTCCATGATCCGCTGCATCATACCAAGAATGTAATGTTGTACTTCGTATGGAAGACCGAGGTCTGGAGAGGTGTATGCAGGACTCGAGCTATTATACGCATGAGCCATCGGCTTATGTTGCGAGGTTGGCGTGACCTGAAAAGCGTTAAAAGGTAAGCAGAGCATATTTCTCCAAGCAAGTGTGGAAACACACCATTGTCCAAACCTCTTGACGATTTGCTGTTTTCGATCTTCCAGGGTAATCGCGCGGTGCCCATTGACTGGCACTCAGCCCACCAGAAGTCTTCCGTGGCTCAACATTTGCTAATTCGCCATGTAGAATTATCTCGCGGGTCGTTTCGATTGCCCGGTTCTTGATCATATCTCTCGAAGTATGCGAGTGGGTAGTAGAGGCTGACGCATTCTCTCGCGCGGGATTCTCGTAGCTGGAGCCATTGTAACTCGGGGAGCGATAGCTGCCGGGGGCCCAGATACTCGTTCTAAGCCCGCTCATCTTTTCTTCACATTCGAGGAACGCCCAGGTGTGTCCTGTTGTGTATTTATTGGTTGTAGAGAACAAAGTCTTTGGCGGGATGTAAATGAGTGTGATGCGGAAAGAGAAAGCAAATGACACTGATAAAATATGGAAAAGAATAATGGAATTGGATGAAGTATTTAATTCAATGGACTATTTATACAACACTTTGTTTTTACTCATAAGATAACATCAATCGTTCTTCAATTCAAAACAAAACAAACTTTCAACATAATAATAACCTTTCCGTTCTTTCCAGTCTAATAATAGGAAAGTTATTGGTCGTAGCCAGTACATTTCAAGCAAATCCAGCTGCACAAAGCCTCGACCGGAATAATAGATTTTCCGTTACCGAGAGGGTCTCTAAAGCGGTGAGACTTCTGCCCTCGTGCGTTCATACTCGACAAAGACTTCCTCGACTTGTTTCAGACTTGGATACGTTTTTGCAATGATGGTCTATTTGTCGGTCTTTTTCGATCCATCAATTATAATCAGCCGCATCGCATAGCTTGACATCTATAGAGTAGTCCGAGGTTTTTTCATGCTTTGTTTCAAAGTGACCTCCTCTCCATTGTCCCTCACCCCCACCCACTCCCTGAAAATGTACGCGAGCGTCAAAGTTTTCCGGGGCTTACGGGATGTCGATATCTCTTTCTACGAATGCAGTATTCTGGATGTGTGAGAACCATGTCAGATAAATGGCTGGATATGGTGAAATAACTTGCGAGTGAAACTGCCGTGTCGTCAGCATTGCTCAATTGGAAAAAGAGAAAGACTGCGCCTCTTACACCTGGAATGTCACTACCGCCATATAAGCGCATTTATTTAGATACCGAAGACAAAGATGACTATCATTCCAATTATTGGAAATAGTTATTGATTTGAAAGAACTCTAAGAGCTTGGGACAATGTATTGCTTAAGAAGTACTCTAGCTATGTCGACCAATCTGGTGCTTCTTCATCTTCGCAAAAGCTCGCCACATTGTCATTCTCTCTTGCAAGTGCTCTTGCACTCGTTCCACTCTCTCTTACATT